CCTGCTCAAAACTTCCATAATTCCCATAATTCCTATAATAATTTGGTATAGTATCTGATTGCCTGAAACATTTACATTTTACATTTACATTTAGTCATTTAGCAGACGCTTTTATCCAAAGCGACTTACAAAGAGGACAAGGAAGCAATTTACACAACTAAGAGCAACAATGAATAAGTGCTATAGGCAAGTTTCAGGTCTGTAAAGTCTAAGAAGGGAAGTATTAGTAGTTTTTTTTTTTTTTTTTTTTTTAGGTACAGTTAGTGTGATATCCAGAGAGGCAATTGCAGATTAGGAAGTGAAGTGGAGACTAAATAGTTGAGTTTTTAGTCGTTTCTTGAAAGTAGCGAGTGACTCTGCTGTTCTGATGCAGTTAGGGAGTTTATTCCACCAACTGGGCAGATTGAGGGTGAGTGTTCGCGAAAGTGATTTCTTCCCTCTTTGGGATGGAACCACGAGGCGACGTTCATTCACAGAACGCAAGTTTCTGGAGGGCACATAGATCTGCAGAAGTGAGAGCAGATAAGAAGGAGCAAGGATAGAAGTCGCTTTGTAGGCAAACATCAGAGCTTTGAATTTGATGCGAGCAGCAACTGGCAGCCAGTGCAAACGGACTAGCAGCGGAGTGACATGTGCTCGTTTAGGTTCATTAAAGACCACTCGTGCTGCTGCATTCTGGAGCAGTTGAAGAAGCTTGATAGAGTTAGCTGGAAGCCCAGCTAGTAGAGAGTTGCAGTAATCCAGTTTGGAGAGAACAAGAGCTTGAACAAGGAGTTGAGCTGCATGTTCAAATAAGAAGGGTCGGATCTTTCTGATGTTATAGAGTGCGAATCTGCACGATCGAGCAGTTCTGAAACCCGTTGTTCTGACACTTTTTTTCCTACCTCCATTCAAAAAGTAGGAAGCACATTTTGATGACTCAATATGCCACCCATCAGATAAATTTTATTGTACGAAGTAGTATGGTACGAAGCTGTAATATTACCCAAACCCACCTAATCCCTGACCTAACCACAACCTCAGAACCATTCAAATACAGTGTTGGTAGCATAATCTGATGGGCAGGATAAAATGTCAGGACACCGGTCACTTACTAACACCACAAAAACCGCCACAATCCCACATTGACGCCACCAACTAGTTCTAGGCATCTAATACTCACAAAATTGTTTGCTGGGATGTTGGCAGGTACGATTATGTTCTGTACTGACTACTGAATCCTTAAAACCGTAAGAAAAATTAGAAACTCAAAATGTTTTATTTTCTACCTAACCAGGCTTTTATTACACAACAGTATAATGATAGCACTTTCTAGCACATTCTGCCTTGTTTAAAACCACTGAACTTCAAATTGCTCTTATTTGTAAAGTACAAAATAGCTATTTCTTTGAAACTGCTTTAACACTATGCACGTGTTGTGAAAAACAATGTAACCTCAAACTTTAATTGAACAGAATTAAAAATTATTGTTCTGTATTGGCACCAATGGTTCCATAAACCTTAAACCTATGGATAAATTTCATTCAACAAAATAGTTTTTCTATTGCAGGGCTGTCCAAACTCAGTCCTGGAGGGCCGATGTCCCTCCTGGCAGAGAATGACGTAAGATGTTGATTTTTAGGAGCGAAGAGTCTTCAACACACCTCCCTGGAAGTTTCTAGTATACCTAGAAAGAGCTTGATTAGCTGGTTCAGATGTGTTTAAGTGAACTTGTAAGAGGAGCATGTGGTATGATTGATCACAGCTGGCCTCTCATTCGTAATTAGCAATATTTTAATCAGATTGATTTAAGCCTAAATTAAATAGACAGATGCCCCCCTCTGCTTTACCTTCGTTTTTGAAAGAATCCCCCCTTCCACCCTATCTTCTTTTCTTACTTTACCAGAGGGAGCGCTTGAGACCTACCTGATCTCAGACCCCTTTATATGTCTTATATGCTCAATTATCTCTGAGCTAATGGTTCTTTCTCGGGACAGTATGCCAAACCTGCTTATAGCGTTAAGCAATATCTGTGAACTCTAAAGTGTGATCTTTTGAATTGGGTTGGAACTAAGATATGCAGGACACTGGCCCTCCTGGACTGAGTTTGGAATGCTCTGTTCTATTGCATCATTTTTTTGTAAACCAAGAACCATTTATTTCTAATGTGAAGAACGTACTGTTTTTAAATTCAAAAGGTTCCATGGGCGTTAAGGTTCTCCATAGAACTATTGATGCCAAGAAGAAACCTTTATTTTTAAGTGTAAGGGTGCTTTCACATCTGTAGTTCGCTTCATTTGGTCTGGACCAAGGGTAATAAATGATACATTGTTGCATCTTCTGCCGTCTTTGGGTCGTTTTCACACCACACTGCTGGCTTTGGTCCGAACCAGTTGAAACGAACCAAAATGCAGTCATCTGACAAAATCCACATCTCTCATTGGCCAGATGTTGTTGAACATATTTCCTAAACTGCTTATTGATTGGTCAGAATTCATGTGCGGGAAAATGCCAATGAACTCCCGCAGGTAAACAAAACCTTTTACTCTGGAGGGACGACTGCGCTGGCTGATTGTATCCCTGCTTTAGACAAACTATACATTACGAAACTGAAGCGCGGCCGCGGCTGGAAAACGGTGTTTAATGCATCGCTTGTCACTTCAGGAGGAGACGTGAATTAATTTAGCTAAACTGCGACATGGTCATCTTGCAAAAATATTACCAACGATTCATCAGGTAATGTTTTCCCCTCTCTCTATCTCTGTTAGTAAAGGGCTGTCAACAAATATTTTTCCTCCATATCCCATAATGCACAGCGCATCGGCCTACGGCAGCTGAATTAGTCCAAAGCGCACAATACTTTTTTGGGGTTGGACCTGTTTTAGTACGGATCATATTCTCACCACAAACGAACCACTCCAGGGTTCGTTTGAAAGCGTACCGAGACCACCTCTTTAAGCAGGTCTCGGTACGGTTATTTGGTCCGCTTTTGGTGCGCACTCGAGTGCAATTGCTGCATTCTCACCTGCCCAAACGAACCGTACCAAAAGGGGAAACAAACTCTAGTGCGATTCAATCGAACTAAATAAGGGTTCGATCTAAATAAGAGAACTTTTGTAGAAGAGAAATGGTCTGTGTCATACTTACTTCCTGGAGGGCCGCAGCTCTGCACAGTTTAGTTCCAATTTTAATTAAACTGATCAAACTAATTGAGTACTTTAGGCTTGTTTGATATCTACAGTTGAAGTCAGAATTATTAGACCCCTTTGAATTTGTTTTTTTGTTTAAATATTTCCCAAATGATGTTTAACAAAGCAAGGACATTTTCACCATATGTCTGATAATATTTTTTCTTCAGGAGAAAGTCGTATTTGTTTTATTTTGATTAGAATAAAAGTAGTTATTAATTTTTTAACACTATTTTAGGGACAAAATTATTAGCCCCTTTTAAGCTAATTTTGTTTTCAATAGTCTACAGAACAAACCATCATTTAACAATAACTTGCCTAATTACCCTAACCTGCCTAGTTAACCAAATTAACCCTGTAAACCTTTAAAGGTCACTTTAAGCTGTATAGAAATGTCTTGAAAAATATTTAGTAAAATATTATTTACTGTCATCATGGCAAAGATAAAATAAATGAGTTATTAGGAATAAGTTATTAAAACTATTATGTTTAGAAATGTGTTGAAAAAATCTCTCCTTTTCAACAGAAAATGGGGAAAAAAACAGGGGGGCTAAAAATTCTGACTTCAACTGTACATATAGGTGTGTTGAAGCAGGGCTGGAACTAAACTCTGCAGGGCTGCAGCCCTCTAGCAATTGAGTTTTTAATAGTCTATAGCAGGGGGTGTTCAAACTCGGTCTTGAAGGGCAGGTGTCCTGCAAATTTTGGTTCTAACCTCAATTAAACTCACCTGAACCACCTTTTCAAGCTCTATCCAGGTATAAAGCTGAAGTCACAGGTAGGTAGTTGAGCTTGCGAAATTCTTTAGTACAGCACTGCTAAAAGGGGCGGGATTAAACAAGATAATTAGACATGTAAAAAAGTAAGCAATTGGTCCATATTTTACATTTCTGTACAGAGAGGTCATGTTTTGATCCTTGATTGGTCTCAAGCAGTCAAGTGATGAAATTTCTCAGGTTGGAGTTCACCAAGCTTAAACTCTGCAACACAGTGAACTGCGAAACTTGTCGTACGAGCTTGCATTGCCTGTCTGATGCATTCACATTCATATGAATGGTAGTCTATGGGGAGAAAAGTCTAGTGAGACCTCAGCTTAATAGAAACTTCCAGAAAGGTGTGTTGAAGGAAGTTGGAGCTAAACTGTGCAGTACACCGACCCTCCAGGACTGAGTTTGGACATCCCTGGTCTTTAGATTGTCATGGAACCATAGATATTATTTATTAGCATGTCAACTGCTAAGCTGCCTACACTATTATTGGATATACAATGGATATTTTGAATATGTTGAATAGTACATGGTTAATCTGTGTGTAGATTTGCTGTACTAAAAAAACAAAGAAAAGAAGTAGTCGTTCACAGAAAGAAACACAAGAAATGCATGAAAATGTTTCACCTTTTATTCATTTTCACACACTAATTAAATATGAACTCTTTTACATGAATTTAGTTATTTTTAATACAAATTAGTAAATTCTTTGCTTGGAGTCCTCTGACAGACGTCCTCCGTTTAGAATTACTGCTTCACTGGAGCAAACATTTTAAAACAAAAATCTCCAAAGGGAAAATTAAAAACCCAGTATAATTGCAAATAGACAAAATATAATTCATTGAAAAAAAGCACTTGACCATGACTGCCATATTTATGAATCTGTTTGTGAAACAGCCCGAGGTTTTCAAAATGCGTCTGTTAAATATTAGCACTTTTACAAAATCCCAACGCTACCCTTCAATAAATGTTCTTTTACTGTATGCACAAACAGTACAATAAAAATCTGTTAAACTTGTAGTTTCTTTCTCTCGCGCAACAGTATGCAACTCTTAAACATCTTTTCTTTTTTTCTGCATAAGTTTAAATACATCTTTATAGAATTGTATAATATAATTTTTTTATATGCTACCAATGGTTATTATCAGATGGCTGCCTCTGGACAAAGACGACAACCAAACTGAAACAAACATTACCACTGCCAACTCTCAAACAAGGACAGAACTCCTGATCCTCAGCTCCCTGCTTGCTTCCCAAAGTGCTCCTAAAACCATTATCATCATCAGCAAGACTCATTTCAGCATTCACTCCGGAATCCAGACTCTTTCCTCCTAATAATTGACATCTTGCTTCATTCTCTGGCAGGTGGGACACTTGGATGTACAGAAAGAGGCAGGAAGACGTAAGCGTCAAAGATCAGACCAGTCCTCCACAAATGAACCAGGCCCTGTTCACAAGCCCCAGTAAGGTGCCAAGTTCCTGCGGTCCCTCTCATACACGTCGGGAATGACTCCGTATGGCGTCTGGATCATTTTCACAGAGTTTCTGCCAAACAGTTTCCTCTCGTACTCAATCAGTTGTCGCCAGAACCCACCATTAGGGCGGATGACAGGTCGACGGGCTTTGACCCAGGCGTGGGCCTCAGCCAAGGAAACTCTGTGGTACTTCATGAGGTAGGCCAAACAGAGCGAGGCAGAGCGGCTCACACCGGCTGCACAGTGCACCAGCACAGCTCCCCGCTTGCGGCCCACACTGTGGATCTTATCCGCTACACTGTCGAAATAAAGCGAGATCGGGGAGTGAGGCATGTCAGCGAGCGGCACTTTTACATACTCCATGTGGGGCCAGTTGAAGTTGGGCAGCTCGATGGTGGCATTCACCACGCAGGTAATCCCTTTGGACAGGAGGAGGCTTCGATTAGACGCCACATTCCCCCGTCCCAGAAACAGAGAGGGAGTGATTTGGGCGATGCCTCCTAGTAGGCTGGTGGCTTCAGGCAGCAGGCGGGGGATGGTGGTGGGCACCACTGAACTGCGGTGGTGGTGATGGTGGTGGTGGTTATGATGCTGGTGATGGTGGTCTTGGTGGTGGAAGAAGCCCTGACTTCGGGAACCCATAGAGGAGCGGAGGCAGGAGACAGAGAAGTAGAAACCTTGAGGTGGCGCCAGGGTGTCTTTCAGTTCTCCTCGGTCATCTCAAAGGGAATGATGATATCATGCACAGCATTGGGTGCACCTAAAACAGACCAAGAGAAAGAAATATATCAGTTGGCTTGGAATAACAAGCTCCTTTGAATAGCTGCAAAATGTTAACATCAGGGATTTTCTCCCAGGCCATGTCCACACTCATATTCTGCGCAAATCGAGATGGAATTTCTAGGCAACGAAAAAGTGTCATTTTGAAAACGCTCTTCAAAGTTGATCAATTTAAATACGCCGTTTTTGAGTTGCAGTGTGGACTGTGAAAATGGTGGCGTTCCAAAACAATGATTGATTTGTTGTTTCTGGTCTTATTTCTCTTATATTTGTATATAATTTCCATAAAGGGAGGACTTTTTGTGGACTCATGAGCATTTCAGCATAGCTTGGTACAGTAAATAATTAAAAACATGTGCATAAAAACACACATAGAAGTGTTCAACAGTCTGATTGACACTGAAATAAGAGTTTTTGAGCCTGTTTGGCTTGCATCGAGGGATACTGCATTTTCTGGGTAAAGCCTCATTCATTCTACAAATGACTCCTGAGCAACTTCTGCCGACTGCCATCTACGCGAGCAACCTCGATCGTTAGCAACCAGGTGGGTGCATCGAGCGTTGCGACAAAGTTGAGAATCCTTTAACTTTATGCAAATGAACAGCAACTTTCTTGAGCAACAGCCAATAGAAATAGCATTAGAGCTCCTCTCCCAGCTTGCTCAGTGGCCGGTAGTATAGGCTCTTTGCACAGCTAGAGTTTTAAACCCAACGATAAATTTCCGGTGGAAGCTTAATGTGACTATTTTCAATTTCACGAGGTTGTTTTTACAGCATCGATGTTGTATTGTAATTACAATACATTCAGTTAAATAGACTGAAGCATTCATTCAGTTGTTCAACCATAAAACGAGATAAAAGATTGCTGTGACGACTAGCACCCGTCAGTAGCAACAGGCTAGCTCAGAAATTCTATTGAAAATACTGGGATGAAATAAGCAGTCATATTTTAAAGACCTGGCGGGGGGAAATTGAATATAATGAAGTGCTTCTTGTCCGATCTGAGACCCACTTCATATCCTTTATATCTAACAGGCAGTGAAGATCAGTGAAAGAAATCAGATCATAAACGTGGCAATTTTGTAATGGAAAGACAGTTCACCGGAAGTCCTTGGGCTGCCTGGCAGAAACCTAAAAGTCTGTGTAAATACAGCTTATATAATCCATTCTTTTTTTGTATAGAGTCTGACTAAAGATTTTTAGTCCATAAGTTTAATAGCAATTCTGAAAATCTTGAAAAGTTTTGATTTAAAACTTACAGACAGAATGCCATACCATGTGAATAAACAATTTATCTAATAACACTCTTGAATACGAACTAATGAAAAAAAAAAGATACAAAATGTTCTTATCAACACCATAAAACGACAATCTATAGAGAAAATAAAGCCCTTGATGAATTTTTCACACATCCAATTTGCATGAGTACCATGAAAGAGACTTGTTTATGTGCACTCCTAGATACAAATATGACTGCACCTGAATAATTTCCAGATTATGTACAAACACTGGTCATGACACATTTGGCCATGTGAACAATTCAGCTGAAATGGTGGATGGAGTTGTACAGTAGTTTTGAAGGCTCTCCATTTGGACAATGTCCATTTGAAGATCTGTTCACGCTCCAGATTGCATTTCTTCAGGTTATTTGCAGAATATTTCCTCAGAGCTGTTGTTTTGGCATGTCTCCCAGTTTGTGTATACTCCTGTGTTACTCACAGCAACAACTCACTGTTGGCCCATTTGAAAAACTTGATGCTTTTCCTCGACATATTGTCGTGACGTTTAAAAGAGCTGGATATTCAATAAATGGCATGCAGAAATTACGCAGTTCAAAGAGTCTTATGGCTTGATGCATGGACAATACATAGACAAAAGTCTTTCTGGATGAACAACTTTTAGTAAATAATTGAAAATATAGTGTGGATGCAGTTTTCACATTTATCTAGAACAGTGTAGATGTAGTCTCAAACACAACTAGCCTAAAAGGCCATGTCCACACATCACAAAAATCTGAGATATAGTGTCAAAGGAAGAGATGGAGATGCTTGTTCAGGTCTTCATCTCTTCAAGATTGGATTATTGGGTAATGCTTTCTTTTACAACCCGCAAAGTACCGCATAACTGCAGTGAAATTACAGTGTACTTTTCTGTACTTATAGTATAAGTATAAAGAACGTATGTGTAGGTATAAGGGAACAAAATGTAATACTTGGGTAATAAGGGGTTAAAAACCAGATATTCAAACGAAAAAGTACCGTGTAAGTATAATGAATTTACGGTGTACTTATCTATAAATTGCAAAGGAACAAATCATAATGTTTGGTTAATAAGGGGTAACAATAAGCGCAAAGTACCGTGTAAGTTTGTTGAATTTACGATGTACTTTTCTTTGAGTATTGTATACATATAAAGAATTATACATGGGTGGTGACAACCTAATGAAGCCTGCAAAAACTTGCGTAAGTACATCAATAATAGTACTCTTAGTCAGTGCTTGGGTTTTATTGGTGGTGTTTAATCAATAAAAGGTTTACATGCAAACATTATGGTTTGATCCTTTGCAAATTACAGAAAAGCACATCAGGTGTGTTTAATTAGAGAAGGAGCTTGACAACAGGTCTGGACTCCCCTGGTTTACATCAAATGCTCTTTCAAAGATATGAAGGTTATTTCAGGGTAATCTAAAACCTTCTGTTTAATAGTTTATAGCTTCCTTTTTCAAACCCAATGTAAGTTTGGCTTTCATCCTACTTTTAATAGATTCTGTCTTATGTTAAAATGATTTTTTATGAATTTATTATAAAGACTTCTCGTAGATAGAGCACAGTGCTAGCAATGCCAAGACTGTGGGTTCAATTGGTAAAATTAAAAATTAATTAAAAAAAAGTAAAAAATTAAGGCCAAACTGACAACAAAATTAATTCATTCATTTTCTTTTCGGCTTAGTCCTTTTATCAATCTGGGGTCACCACAGCGGAATAAAACGTCAACTTATCCAGCAAGTTTCTATGCAACGGATGTCCTTCCAGCCACAACCCCTCTATGGGAAACATCCACCCACACTCATACACTACAGACAATTTAGCCTACCCAATTCACCTGCACTGCATGTGTTTGGACTGTGGGGGAAACCGGAGCACCCAGAGGAAACCCATGCGAGTGCAGGGAGAACATGCAAACTCCACACAGAAATGCCAACTGACAAGAAAATGTTGAAGATTATTTTTAGAATTATAACATTTACCATTTATATATATATATATATATATATATATATATATATATATATATATATATATATATATATATATATATATATGTGTGTGTGTGTGTGTGTTTCTAATGCGATGACTCATTCTTGAACTATATATAAATGGTGTATCATATAATCATTAAAAAATCAAACATATTTGTATTTTACTAACTAATGAGTTTTATAAACTGAATGGCTTTTCTGAGGTTAATGTGACATTATGTTTATTTGTATTGAAGCTGCTTTAACATGATTCTAGGGTTTAAACCCTGCTGTAGAGGGTACATAAGATAAAACATTACAGTAAGTTGGCCATTTTTTCAACATTCCTTTTAATATTCATTCATATTTACATTTGTAAATCATTTTCATATCTGACATGATCTCTTTCGCAAGTAGACAATGATAAATACTAGTCTATATGGGGTCTAAAATAGTATAGTTAAAAACACAGTTTAGTACAACACTACTACCTGCACTGCATTACAGCCACTAATGTCACACAGCCACTAAGACATGATTTTTATATAAAATGTGTGCAAACACCAAAATAAGATATTCATTCTTTGTTGAGTTGACCAAAACACACAGATTACAGATGAAATAGTACACTATGACAAAAGTCTTGTCGTCAAACCCAGTTGTAAAAGCAACAACAAATATTTTGACCTAGTTGATCATTTGTAAAAGTGGCAGAAGGTAGATTTTTCTGATGAATCATCTGTTGAACTGCATCCCGACCAGTACCAATACTGCAGAAAGCCTATTGGAACCCGCATGGACCCAAGATTCTCACAGAAATCAGTCAAGTTTGGTGAAGGAAAAATCATGGTTTTGGCTTACATTTAGTATGGGGGCGTGCAAGAGATCTGCAGAGTGGATATCAACATCAACAGCCTGAGGTATCAAGATATTTGTGCTGCCCATTACATTACAAACCACAGGAGAGGGCAAATTCTTCAGCAGGATAGCGCTGCTCCTCATACTTCAGCCTCCACATCAAAGTTCCTGGAAGCAAAGAAGGTCAAGGTGCTCCAGGATTGGCCAACCCAGTCACCAGCCATAAATATTATTGAGCATGTCTGGGGTAAGATGGAGGAGGCACTGAAGATGAACCAAAAGAATCTTGATAAACTCTGGGAGTCCTGCAAAACACTTTCTTTTCCATTCTAGATTTGAGTCATTGCAGTAATGTTTGGATGCTGTGCCCCAAGCTCATGGGAGTCATACACAATATTAACTTTTTTCCACTGCACCATGACTTTATATTATATACTGTACATTATTAAGTGACAAGACTTTTGTCTAAGCAAAGACAGACCTTACTGTCCTAATTAAATAATTAAAAATCAAGGCATGATCATATTTTATTTTGGTAAAATAAGCGTAATCTAGAGGCCTTTGACTTTCATATAAGCCACTTTTGATGCCAAATGATCAACTAGAAGTCGAGTTATTTGTTGTACTTAAAACTTGGATAGGCGACAAGACTTTTGTCAGGTGGTGTAGTTGCATCCACATGTGCAAGCCATTGCTGATTGCGAGCCATGTTAGCATGAATTTGTTCGTTCCATAGTCCTTTTGCATGGCAGTTATAAGGATAGAAAGTGTTGACAAAATCTGAGTACAGATGGTCACAAGACATTTGAATTGATATCAGGTGGAAATGGTTCTGCATCTCTGCTGAGCATCTGTTATCAAAAAATGCATGTTATTAAAAACAAG